CTCTACAAACTCCTAAGAAGGGCTAGAGAAAAGCCTTGAGGCTTTAGGGGTGGTTTGGAGAGAGTTGGAGCGAATTGATGTGGAGAAATGAAGAAAAACGAGCTCTATTTATAGGCTTCCAGTTCCTATGTATGTTGTGCATACTCATGCCATATGTCACCATCTGGTCGCAAGGCATGGGGAGGAAGTAGTGGCTCAGATCGCGCCACATGTCACTCACAGATCACTAAAAAAACTAATTATCTTCTAAAATCCGTAACTTTTGCATACGAGCTCCGTATTTGACGTTCGTTATATCCACGCGCAGGTATTGACGGGATCTACAACTTTTGTTTAGACTCTGTTGGCTAATTTCCATTTTATTTTTAAAGTTATATTTTAACAGACTTAGACAGTTATATCTGTTAAAAATTCATAACTTTGTCATCTGACGTCTGATTTCCACTATCTTTATATTAATGAACTCCTATTAATGAGACATTCAATTCTAATTTAGTTTTATTGGATAAAAATCTATCGATCTAAAATTCGATTTTCCGGGTTGTGGACTGTTATGCTAAATCTTAGAAAAATCATAACTTCCTCATACAAAGTTAGATTTGGATTCTCTTTTTATGTATGTTCTCAGTTTAACATATAGTACGACTTTTGTTTAGATCTTTAAGGCTAAAAAGTAATTTATCAAAAATTCACTTTTTTCGTTACATGGTGTCGTGTCGGTTTAGCTATAAAACTTCGACGGGTCATAACGTCTTCGTTATAACAACGTTCTTTATTTGCACTAAACCCTTGTGACATATACTATAACTCAGTTAAGATTATTTACTCTAATTATCTTCTACCAAAAATTCATTTTTGACGCTCATTGTCTATAAATTGACTAGCTTGAATCTACGGGCATTACAGTTGGCATATTGCCTCAACCCAACCATCCAGGGTTTGTTGGCCTCCCACCTCAACCCAACCACCAATATGTCGACATATGCATATAACAGACCATATATATAATCATAACAATAATTCTACATCCAACAATACATAAACACCACAAGTGGGTCGTCCTTGGTGCCTTAGACCCATAAGCGTAGTAAGAAAACCCAGCTCAATCCTGAAGAAAAGATAAACCACCCACTTGAGCCTGCGATATCAAGCCTCCTCTTGCTAAATATATCCATAATAAATCCCTAATTAACAATCTAGTAAATGACCGGCCCACAAAAGTTCTAGCCTCATAATTAAATCTCCTTTAGGCTAAATACCCTTTTGCCCTTACAATATCATGTCTAAAAGTCATATTTCCCAAAGTCAACGATCAACCCTTAGTTGACTTATGCCCTGCATAAGTAATCTACACCCTACGTAGAGCTATGCCATGCATAACTAGATTATACCCTGCATAATGTCCCTGGTCCCAAAAACTTCTATTAAGCTCTTAATACAGCAAGTTAAACCCACAAAATCCAAGATATGATAAATATGAACATCTTAATGGATAAAGTCTTTGACTTTATCCATTTACATGGCCACAAAGAGAAAAAAACCAATACTTAGGTCCATAAAGTTATCTTTTGCTTAAGAACTCATGCATGGACGGATAAGAGTGTCCAAGCTCTCATTTTTATGACTCTATATCCTCAAAAACATTAGAAGGAGACATTCAAATGGTCTGGAGTAACCCATACACACAAGGATCAAGATTATGGGACAAAAGCATAAAAACCATGAGCTAATTAGATCTAACAAATGGAACATCAAGATGCAAGCTTTATACCTTTTGGAGATTAGTGATGAAGTACAAACTCTGGATCTACAAAGCTTGGAGCTCACACTTGCTTCTCCAATGGACTACTTCAAGAATTCACATAAAAACCACACTAATGCTTCCAAATCTCACCATTGATGGCTAGGGTTTCAAAAGAATGGTTGAGGTGATGGAGGCTGGTGATGGGAAGGGTTCCAAGAAGTTAGAGCCCTTAAATAAGGCCCAAAACCATAGGATTAGGGTTTTAGTCAGCAGCTGTTACGCCCTACGTAACCTATATTACACCATGCATAGCCCATTAAAATGCGATCAACATTTAGCAAGATACGCCTTGCGTAGGGCAAAACCCCAAACTTCCAATTCTACTTCAAACAACCATAACTTCTTCGTTTCAACTTTATTTTTAGAGTTTTTTATATGCACGGAAAGGTATCGACGAGTCCCATAATATTATCTAGTTACTTTTGATCAAAAAAATATCAAACTAAAGTCCTTAATTCATGAAACAATCCCGAGATATCACCTTCCTAATTTTACCCTTTGGTTCATGGCATAAATCGATGGATTTAATCACTTATTCCAACATTACATAAATCCGAAAAGGGCCTAAACTCTATTCCTTTGAAGCCTAATACCATCACTTGATCAAATTCCGACATGCCATCTCGAAATTATAACATCACTAAAACCAGGTGTTATAATGATCATCCAAACTACCCCCCCCCCCCCTCCCTAAAAAAAACATATAGTTTCAAAATATTTCAAATCTAGTATTTTCAACAATTCAAATATTTCTAAAAATCAATGGTTTAATAGTTCAAAGTTTAATAAGTGGGGAATAATTCATTACAAAGAAAAAAATTTAAAAACATTTCGAAATAAGAAAGTGTATATGCTTCTATTCTTAAACCCTAAGTCAATCTTGAGGTCCGATCTTATAATGAATGTTAATATTAGGGCTCATGTATGGTAACCAATCTACATAATACACTTTCCATATCCAGTCCAAAGTTAGGTTTGTATAATTAGCACAAAACACCTTATACACTTTCCATGATCGTTTATGTTCCAACCTATATAACAACCACACAAGGGTTAACTAACTCACTTGTACAAGTATAGCTTATCTAGAAAGCCATAATCCAAAATAAATTGTCCCAAGGTGGATATCCATGAGTACAATACCAAGTATCAAGCTATCCTATGTGAATTCATAAGTAGGATGCTCAAAATAATTTCAATTCAAACCAAGAGTTTTCCCTAAAAGAAATAATTCTCCTTTAAAAATATATTTCATTAAATGCATCAAATTCTTATAGTATTCACATTGCACATAAAGAGTATACCATATTAAATCAAATATTCAAAATTAATAAATAGGTTTAGATACATATACTCTTGGTATAATTCACCTCAATTGGTTAAACAAGTTCACTTAAATTTTAAGGTTGTTGGAGTAGTTAGTGTTCACCAAAAGTTAGCCATAGTTGGGTTAATTATCCCCTAAATGTACATAAAGTCAGTTATTAAGTTTTTAATCCCAAACTTGAAATTTTATTGTTTCAAATTCATGCCTACAATCATAGAAGGACAAATGAGAAAACTAGATCTAGTTTGGACTTGATTGCAAAAATTACAAGACAAACAAGTTTGGCCCAAAAGTGTGTTGCTCGATGAAGTGGATCACTAAGCAAAATCCCACTCGACCGGGCAAGATCAACCAAAATGTATTTAGATCTTCAAACAGTTGTTGCATTTTGTAACTTCAAATTACTCTCGTAACATAGATTTCTTCTCAAACAACACCAATTCGTTATCAAAGCAAAACTAAATTCGGATCCAACACATGAACTTAAAGTCTCCATATAGCTTGAAATCATCGCAATGATCAAATTGACGTTAATTGGCTACTCAATTGACTTAGAAATCACAAATGGAGAAAGGAAATCATGTATAAACTAAAAAAAAACCTTCACCTCATAAATATAGAATCTTGAATCATAATTTCATTATTTTAGGTATCTTACACACCAAAATCATCTTGTGAAGTTGAAATCAAGTGACATAAGAGTTGTTGTTGATGGAATGCTGAACCGGTGATAGAAATCAAACTAGAAAGTCAAATCTAGATCCTAGATAATATTTGTTTTTGGATTTAAAGTCTATAAAGTAAAATATAAACAAAGTAATTTTTTAATCTTAAGATGGTTTTTAACTCAATAACTTTTATCAATAATTCTTTATAATTTAAAGAAAAAGACTAAATTGCAAACTAAAAAAAAGTATTTATGCATAAATAGAATCAATCATTTGATTCAAACCGCTTTAAAAAAAACAAATGTTATGTATGGAAAAAATTAATGAAATCATTTATAAAAAATCATCTTTAAAGGGTACCAATTGCTAAAAACTATATACACGAAACAATCTATATGAAATCTCAAATAGATGATTCAAAAGTAATAAACACAAAAAATAGGATGCATCATAAGAATCTTTAAACATACGAGAATGAAGTCATGTTGAACAATATTATTTGCTAATCCATTGCATAATTAGAAAAAGGTTTTGTCGATAACAAAATGATTATTGAGTCGATTGATTAAGTCATTGTTTGATTAATGAAGTTAATAACATCAAACAATTTGAACCGACATTGTCATCATAAGTATTTTGCTTTCCCTAAACTTATTTTACGTTAATATTTATATTAAATAATATAATCTTATGCCTTTTGTTTGTTTATTAACATGTTTTTACATTTTGAATATATAAACTTCAAAGTTTTAAAGATTAAATTGGTTTTTAATTTTAATTATATATACGGGTTTAATCCTAATTTTTTATTTGAGAATGATAGTTTAATAATATCATATGATAGGCTTGATTTATATAAAACTTTCAATATTAAATTGGTTTAATGTTAATTAAAATATTAATTTGAATTTCATAGTTTTAGGCCGATGGTTTAAAATTTGTTAAGATATAAAGTAATATTTAAAGTTTGTAAGGATATAAATGAAATTTCATATATATATTTTTTATCTTTTAGATTAGTATACTTGTAAAATACAAACAGTTGTAAAATACATACTGAAAACAGCGACGGAACGCGGGATCGTGGACCAGTGCTCGGATTCTAGCACTAACACTCTTAGCAAGATCCGATGCATGATAATCACTTATTCAACCACAACAAATTTTGTTTTTAATTTTCAATTTGTCACAAAAGTTTAAAATTAAAACGAAGTTTTCTTTATTTTTTAGCCCATATTTAAACAAGCACAAAAACATGTATAAGCGTTGCCACACCAGAGGAGAGAGAGAGAGAGATGGGGTTGGAAACACTTTCATCTAATAATGAACTCCTCAACTTGATAATCTATAACACCGCAACCCCTTTTAGCTTCCATGAAACCACTACCTTCCACAACCACCACCCTCCTCCCATAGAAATTATCACCTATAATTCTTCATCCCCAACAGCCGCGCAACCACACAGCAGCATGGAAAACGATCAAAAGTCAGCCGTAGAAGGTGGAGGGAGGAAGAAGAAGAAGAGGAGGAAGAAGGGTAGGGTGTCTAAAAACAAAGAAGAAGCAGAGACTCAAAGAATGACACACATTGCCGTCGAGAGGAATCGCCGGAAACAAATGAACCACCATCTCTCCGTCTTGCGTTCACTCATGCCGGAATCTTACGTCCAAAGGGTTCGTTTATAACTAAATTTCGATGCCGAAATCTCAACTTAGATCAAGTTGGTTGCCGTAGTCTAAGTGTCTAAACCTTTTTTCCATATAGTTTAGTGTTCATCTTTCAAGGTCTTTTCTTTTTCAAAATGATCAACAAACACACACACACAGTCACACACACACACGTACACATACATATTCATATCGTAATCATTATCAATGGACGAAAATGCCATTTTCAGGGTGATCAAGCTTCAATAGTTGGTGGTGCGATAGAATTTGTGAAGGAGCTTGAACACCTATTGCAATCTCTTGAAGCCCAAAAGTTTCGCTTAACTCAACAACAAGGAGATCCAATCATTCATGACCACAATAGTAATTTTGCCACTAATCCTACCCTAGGACGTGACATACCACAACTACCCCTCCATTTGTACAAACTTTTCTCGTACCCACAAAACACATCTCAGTATCCCCAACAAGTACACTTCAAAGCACAAGGCAACCATTGCAGATATCGAGGTCAATTTGATCCACTCATATGCCAATCTTCGAATCGTATTGCAGAAAAGGTTAACTCCACTCTCGAAAATGGTTGTTTTCTTGCAAAAATCTCGACTTTCCGTACTCCACCTCAATATCACCACCTTAGACCCGTTGGTGCTCTACTCCATCAGTCTTAAGGTAATCCTTCATTGCATGTCCATGCACATATATGTATCGGAGGGTAAATTTGGGATTTCAGTCATGAGCTTAGAGCTTGTAGATATGTACATTTGTTATAGCATAACGTGCAAGTTATTCTACTCCATCTTTATGCAGGTAGAAGAAGGATGTTGGCTAAATTCAGCAGATCAAATAGCAGGTGCTGTCCACCAGATTCTTGCACTTATTGAGGAGGAAGCTATTCTGTGTATTGACTCAAAATAATTGAAATGGCTACATGTTATTTTCCGGATTTACCCCTATGACTAGGCTAAATTACTTTAATGCCATTGCCATCCGCCTAGAGCTTCCCATCCCTCGTTTTAATGTACAACATTAGTTGTACTAAAATGTTTTTCATGTGGGCGTAGTTGTATACTTAATAGAACGTATTTCTGGTTAATTTTATTTTAATAAATATATTTTAGGACTATAATCTAATAATTTATAGGGACAATCACAACATGACCACATGGTGTTGAGAAATATAGGGAAATAAAACAATTTTTACCTATTTACTTAAGGGTTTATAACTTCTACTGGTTATGCACTTTGCCTTGTACACATTTAGTTATAAAAATTTTATTGTATGTAATTTATCATTAAACTCTCGTAGCTTGTTTAAAATATACCGGTATTATTGAGTATTATAGATATTGCCAATTTTTTTTTGGTTTGAGTTGCACCATCGGTCATCTTTTACAACCATCTTCCTCAACTTGCACATTTGATTTTGGATCCCCAAACCTCTTAGAGGAATGAGATATGAGGTGAAGATGTTTGTTCAACTTTGAGCACCAAAATTCAGCAAGTTTAAAAATGAGATATATAGGTTCTTGAGTTCATTAGATTGCACGATGAATACGATAAAGATCTCAGGATCTTCATGAGCTTTTTTTCTAGTTTAAAAATAAAGAAATCCATAATTCAACAAGATGTCGGGATCTTGATTAGCTTCAAGAGTTTTTTTCATGATGAACACGATAAGGATCCAACGATCTTTCAAAGATTGTTTTTCCGAAAAGAGATAACCGGAGGCCGGAGAAGATAACCAAAGAAGAGAAGATGACTAGATGTGCAAACTTATATTAAAAAAACTAGCTAAAGCTATAATGTCCAATTACAATGGACACTATAGAGTGTTAAATGGTAAAGTGTATAAAAAAACTTAAGTGACTATATATATACACGGGACAAAATACATTATCCTTACAAAATCATTAACCCTTTACCTAAATGAACACCAATTGCAAAAGGGCATTCATATTCCAATGATATATAAATTATTTGCATTCATTGCACTAAAACAGGTAGGTGTGGGCAATGCCCACACCTGCGTTATTAGGAAAAAAAACAAAAAAACGCGTTATAACATGTTATGGTGGTAATGAGAAGTAACACGCAAGTTAATAACGCCTGATAACGGGGAGGGGACGGTGTTCACGTGTTATAACACGCAATAACACCTAATAACGCCTCTTGTATCGTTGCCCATACCCACCTCTCTAAACATTTTTCAAAATTCTAGGATTTTTTTTTAATGGTTCAAATGCTTAGTCCAAAATATGACAATTTTTTGTTCAAAAATGTAATTTGATGTGATATAAAGTTTGTACGGCACAAATTTTGTCCAAAATCATATTTGGAGAAACGTGATATTTTTTTAAAATATCTTAAAAGCTGGTAATAAATGGATTATCTTCATTTCGACAGTCATTTTTGTGATCATTCCAAATTTATATTATAAGTTTATAAATAAATACTCTAATTTATATTATACGTTTATAAATAAAAAACATGGTTGCTATTGCAGGTTTAGTTTCTATCAATCATTTCCGTATACCAAGATTATTTAAGATAAGTTATATAACGTCTCAAATTCCAAATCAAATTATATATATTTAAAACAGAGAAAAACATACTATTAAATCATAAGAAAATAATCATTCAATTACTTTTTTTTTTAAACAGTAAATACAAATATATACTAAATTACTTCTAAATTATTTCACATATATCCACAATAAGACTTGAACCTTTGACCTTAAGAAGGAAGGGCAACACTGGATACCGCTGGGCTAGAAACCCTTTTAATCATTCATTACTTGATAACATAAGTCAGAGTAACGAACTAATAAATGCAAAACATCTCAAAATCATATAAGCAGATGAGATGCACTCATGTCGTGCTCTTCTCGTACTGCCACAAAGACCTACAAATATATAAACTAAAAAATAGTAAACACAAAGCCTAATGAATTCCCTAAGATATCACATACCAAATGGATATCGTCCAACAAGCATATAAACCGGTCTCACTCATAGGCCCCTCCTAAAATAAGATATAAACGGCCCCACCTAACATGCATATAATCAATCATACATGAGTCACAAAGACAAGACGTATCTAGCATCCTACATAGTATAGTAGAAGATTAATCTGAGCTAAACATCAAACCTTGGCAATAGAACAACTAACACAAGCCACTTAACGTCAAACCGAGACTAGTCCTTAGTCAAGTACTCAATTCTATCAAAGTTTGACCAAAAGCCATACTGGTCAAAATGTCAACCCTTGATCAACTGGGCACATTACGCTGTACAAAGGGTGCCCCACACCTATTACACAAAGTGAAAATACTTAATCCATTAGGTCAAAACCCCCAAATTCTAGATTTGGTCCTCAAGAATGTCATAATAGATAAAGTTTCCAACTTTACCCATTAAGACACTCCAATCAAGCAAGATCTAAATTCTAAGTCTCAAAAGTCCAAGAATCCATCTTTCTCGACTTAATCTAATAAGTCTAAGTCTTCTACTTTTAGATCTGAATCAACATGATGTCTAAATAGATAACATTTCCAACTTTATCCATTATAAAGCCACACACTTCCAAGATCAAAAACTCAAAGTTAGAAAATAACCAAAAACCCATCTTTCTTTATACATGGAGTAAATAGAACTCTTTAATGCATTCTTTACTCCACCAAATGACCATATAACATCCCAAGCATTAGTCAAAAGCTTAAGAGTTCTTCCAACTTAACGGAATAAACCACAAAGGGACTAAAACTTACTAAAATGGACCAAAAAACCTAACAATCTTTTATTAGATATATGGAGGAAACATAATTTAGCTTGAAACTTTAGAGTTTCACAAGGTCTAAAGGTGTTAAGAAAACTGAAATCTTCAATATCCATGTTTCCTTGCCAAAGCTTTCCTGCATCATCACCTAAGAACACCATCAGAGCAAAAAGGAGCACCGGGATAAGTTTTGGAGAGAGGACGAGCTCCAAACAATTTAATGGTGGCTAGGGTTTCATTATAGGTATTATAAAGGATGTGAAGGCTAAAAATCAGGAACCAGAGGGTTAATGGCCTTTAAATACCCCACATCCTCAGCGTAATTCCACAGATTTTCAGTCTTCAACTCCAAACAATCATAGCTTTTTCGCATTTAACCTAATTTTAGTGATCTTTATATGCACGTGAATGTATTGACAAGCCCCATAACTCTATCCAATTGCTTTTGACTTAAAACATATAGAACGTAATTCATAATACATGCAAAAAGTATAGAATATCATTTTTCCCATTTTACCCCTTTATGACTCCAATACACAATCCAATGGATTAAATCATTTTAACCAATATTATCAACATCTAATAAGGTCCAAAATATATCCTTTTGAATACCGATAACTACTCTTCATTAAATTAAAGTCTGCCATTCCAAAATAAGAAACTTCCTCTGATTGCCTTATTAACCAATGCATCAATATAAAAAGGGTTACGAGACCTCTCTAAACCTAGGTAATTCCACCATCAAGAACCCAATCACTTGAAACTTCTCAAATATAACATTAAATTTATCACTACTGATGGTCTGACCAAACTTAAATGAAACCAATAACAATTGGAAAGATCCAATACTATAAACACAACATAAGACCAACGGTAGACTTCCCAAGACAAAAGATCCATCGGTCTGAAACCTATGAAATCATACGCATAGAATGACAGACAATCTCCTGATAAACCCATTCACCATGTAACATCCCAAAATTTGAGGCATTTTTTTTTTTTTTAGTTAAGTGATTCATAAAGTAGTTTGTCAAAACATTGTTAACATCATGTCAATACATAAAACCATAATATCAAGTCTCAAAATCAAATCATCCGAAGTAACGCAATATTAGAGTATAATTCCAGAAAACTCTAAGCGAAAATCATGTGTGTATGTGTGATGTGCTGCTACACCTCCGACTCCTTCCCTTTCAACGAAGAGGTACCTGAAACCAAAACTGAAACTGTAAGCACAAAGCTTAGTGAGTTCCCCCATCATACCACATACCATATAATCACATAGCATACATACTACTAGGAAATTATTGTAACAGCTCAAATTTTCAAATAAAATTTTCATTTAAAATAGAACAACATTATTCGACAAAAGCATTTATTCCAAGTTCATTTCAAAAATACAAATAACGAATCCCCAAGATCTCCAACCATGGCAGTGTGTACGTGTCACGCCGGCGCCTTCCTACGGTCATCACTAGTACCTGAAACACATAAACACAACTAGTAAGCATAAATGCTTAGTGAGTTCCCCAGTATACGACTTACACACATACGCCTTTCCAGGCCCTGACCTTCCGGTCCATATAACATTGCCTTCCGGCCCGTAACATAATTGCCTTCCGGCCCATAACATATCGCCTTCCGGCCCTTATTATATTGCCTTCCGGCCCATAGTATATTGCCTTCCGGCCCATAACATTTACAAAGCATAACACATATATCATAACACACATAGCACATATATCATACATCATACCTGTTCCTGATATCACATAACATATTGCCTTCCGGCCCGGTTAAACATACATAACATGTATAGCATCTACCTTTCCAGTTATAGCATAAATCACATATATCACATACGACCTTCCGGTCACACAGTCAAACCCTTCGGGTGAAGTATAGTGAGAAAACTCACCTCGTAGTATGCAAGCTATGAACCCTTGGAGCTACTCGTACTCGATCCGATAATCTGTAGACTCCCTATAATACCACATACCTTTATTAATGACCTTATCAAACAAGACACTGTCCCTACGAAATTACATACAGGTCAACTACCCCCCCTTGACTCGACGAGGTCCTTGTGAAAGAATCGCGGGGCCACCCCGACTCCACTCGCCGAGTCTAAGGAACGACTCGACGAGTCCCAGTAAGTCTTCAAGCTACTCGCCGAGTCTGAAGAACAACTCGGCGAGTCCTAGTAAATCTTCAGGCTACTCGCCGAGTCTGACGAACAACTCGGCGAGTCCAAGCGGATCTTCAAGCTACTCGCCGAGTCTGATCATTGGACTCGGCGAGTCCACGCCATGCAGTCAATCAACTGCCTCCTGTAATTCGCATGGTTCCGTAATATATAAATATGGGACTTCCTGGACTTTACACATACCGCTACTGGGATTTAAACACTTGCAACAACACTATAACCCGACTAATCATTAAATGGGTTTCCTAAACCCTAAATTCGTGTACAACACCAAAACTACAGAAATGATCCGAGGATTACCTGGAAAACGTTTCCCTGCGTCCCCAACCTTCAGAGCTCAATCCCCTTGATCCTCCTTTGACCACAACCTTGCCTCTTCTTGCCTAACAACCTCTTCAAGCTTCCACTAGCCTTCACCCTCGCTCCAGATGTTCCCAGACTTTTAGGTTATCTTCAATCGGCCAAAAGACGAGACATGACGGCCCTAAAGACATTATATACGATCCAGAATCAAAACGGCTAGGGTTTCAGCTGAACAGCGTCGACTCGCCGAGTCCCTAATGGA